CCCCGCGTCCGCCCGCCAGAGGGTGCGGCCGGAATGCCCCCTCCTATGGCGCCCCCCAGTGGACCCGGCGCCCGGCCAAGGGGAAGGCGCCGCCTGCCGCTGCACGCGGGGCGGGGCTCGCCGAGCCCCGGGTGTAGCCCCGCAGGGGTCCACACCCGGGTCTCCCCCAGCAGCCTCCAGCCCCGGCGCACAGCACCCTGGACAGTGCCCACCTCCCCGTGGCGCCAGCGGCGGTCCCCGGAGGGGCACAGAGGACGCCAGGCGGGTCACTCGGTGCAAGGGGCATCGGGGCCTTGGGCCGATTAAGTGACCACAGATGGCAGTAGAGACTTCGCAGCCGGCGCCCAGCCCTTCGATGGTCACTGATAACCGAGAGGGCACCCCAACCTGCGTCTGCACGCGAACGCCTCCAACCCTGTTTCCTCCTCTGTGAGTTCGGAGTCTGGCATCCTAGAGCTGTTGGAAAATCTCTTATTGACGGTAATAATACAGTAAACGCTGGCGTTCCAGGAGTATTACTGATTCCTCACTGTCCCCTCCCGGGAACCTGTGCCGCTACAATCTCCGCTTAGGCTGATTATCAAATTCAAAAGGCCTGGGTTCCCGCCCTGCCCGGGTCTCCAGCCCTCTCCGGGTCTCCAGCCCTCTCCTTCCCACACTCTCCAGTCACACCGTCCTTCCTCTGGACTGGGACCACAAGCTCAGGTCTTGGGGTCCCCCTCCTGCGATGCGCCCCCTTCCCCCCTTGCAGGGCTGGCTTCTGCACTGGATCCCAGCATCACCGTCTGAGCTCAGGCAGTGCTCAGGGGGTGCTCGGCACAGGTTGCCGAAGAGGGTCTCACGTGTGCTGGAAGCTACCAACCCCGACTCCCTACCAGCCACCCCCGCTGTCTCGTCAGCTCATCTGGATCTGGGCAGGATCCAGGCCGTGTCCAGTGCTGTGGCCTTTGACCTTGTGCTGACCTTGTACGGGGCGCAGGAGAGAGAGAGCTTGTCCTGAAAGAAAGGGGCTCCAGGCAGGGGTGCCAGGCTGGGCAGGCTGGATGCGGGGCGGAGGGGAGGGGGGTGCACAAAGCCTGTAGTGGGAGGGTGGCTGACTGCACCGAGGAGGCGAGGGGGCTTGGTCAGAATCCGGGGAAGACTCCTGGTGCCCAAAGATGCTCCGTGCTGGGACTCCTCTGGCGAGCGAAGGGAGAGCCCAGCCCTACCCTGTTAGATTTGGGGCCATGCCAGCAGAGCAAAACCCAGACCCTCTTCCAGGCCAATAACAAGCCAGCCCCGCTGGCCAGTGGCAACCTTCCTGAGGGGCAGCGATGGCTCACGGGCCCCACCAACACGTGCATCAGAACCTTGAGCCTGCCCACAGTACCAGGAAGTTGTTGAAGGGCCCACACAGCGGGCACTGCCGGCAGCCTGGCAGGCTCAGGATGCCCGTCCTGGACAAGTCAAACGGCTGAGGACACACACCTGACCTGGTCATTGTCAATGGGCCAGCAATCCGTTCTCAGACCTAGGAGGTGGGCCCCTGAGGGCCAGAGCCGTGGCTCAGACTAGGGTTGGGTCCCGGGAGGTGTCAGGGGCCGGACCCACACCAGTTCAGTGACCTCCCTGGGGGGCTAGCCTGAGGGCGCATGTTAGGGTGCAGGACTAGCTTAGGGTTTGGGTTCAGGGAGCGGCCGATGGTGTGTCCCAGGCTTAGATTTTGCTGTGACTCTCTACTGAGACGTCAGTACGTGGCACAGTCGGCCCGGACACCCTGTTCGGACACGTGTGAATACAAGCCACCAGGTGTTCCAAAGAAAGTAGGGGCTTTGGACACTCCTGCCTCTAGGTGCTGAGAAGCTGACAGCAAGTGTCCCTGTCAACAGGACACCTGCACCATAGGGACGGTGAGCCCCCCAAAGAACCAAGTCAAAACCCACAGGGAACACCAAATAAAGACAGAGCAAAGAAGGCATGGAAAAGCCAGGTGTTAGGAGCCCAGCTGATGCCCACAGAAAAGACCCCTGACCTTCCCTCGTCTGTACTGATGTAACAAACGTAGACGTCAAAATACGCACACGATAAAATAGAGTATAACATAACGTGTAAATGTAGTATGACCTAATACCATTAAAATTCAAACAGAAAATAACAAAATACAAGCCAGGAACAGAGACTGTCGGGCGCAGGAGCAGGGTGGGATCCTGGGATGAAGGAGGGAGGGGGTGAGGAAAGGTGTCAGCTTTGTCCTTAAACACAGGGTGAGGTAGACCCCGCAGGCTCGACTCTCCTCTTGGCCCAGCGTTCACAAAGAGCCTGACTCCTCCCCGTGGGAGATCTGCTGGGGGAAAGCCTGTCTGGTCGTTCTGCCCGCGGTCAGCTGCAGGACCTCAGCCGAGGACCCGGTTGACTCGGCCACGTGGTCTAACCTGGCCAGATCCCGTGGACGTTGGATCATTTGAAATGTCTTTGGCCTTGATGTTGCAACCACCAGAGTTTGTGGCATGGATTCAGTCGGACCCAAACACCCTTTGTCGGCCAGTCTTGTTTCTCCCCTGCGTAGATGGATAGTCGTGGGCTCACCGGCAGGAAGGATGTTCTCCTGCTACAGGGCAGCCAGCAGGGGGCGGGCGGCAAACTTTGCAGGGAGAATAAGTGCGGGAAGCGGCAGGGAGGGGCCGAGAACAAGGGGGCCTTATGAGGAGAAGCGGTTCTGCCACTGCCCACGGTCCTGCCTGTGGCCCTGGTCCGGATCGGAGCCTCCAGCCATCTGAAAGCACAGCTTGTGTGAGCAGGCAGAGCTGGACAAAACGCTCTCAGTCATCCCAGGGCTGTGCAAATGAAAACCGTGCCAAGCGAGGGGCCCTGTAGTTCCCGGCTTTGATTGTGTCTAACAACCCGCCTGCCTTCAGATCGCATCTTCAGCTCTGGTTTTCCCCGTGGAAAGACAACACGTCTATCTGAGTGACAGACTCGGTCGTTAAGCTGCTCGTTAACAGGCTCTGGGGTGCAGGTTGGTCGGGTGGGGTTCGGCTGCTGGGAGCCAGTTTTCTGGACCTCGATATTCTTGACTAGGGATCGTGCTCTTGACCCCATGCAGTAAAAACTACCTGGTGTCAGAAGGCCCCCAGGTTAAAAGAGTGGGGGCCAGGGGCGCCTGGGTGGCGCAGTCGGTTGAGCGTCTGACTTCA